TTCGCTTTCCGGGCGACTGCTCTTTTAACTAATTGAGTTATCCAGGGCCCACCGATCAATCCTTCTCACGAATGTCCAATAAGTTTGGCATGGAGGCGCTCGTCCCAAATATATATACATTCGAAAAATGTAAAAAAAAAAAATTTAGATTTTTTCAAAATTGCAGAGTGGAACGTCCCTTTAAAAGAAAAACAATTACTCTAAATATAAATGATAATATTATGAATTTTCTTTTTATTTTTCAGTTTAAAACAATCAATGAAGACAATTTTATAGAACTAACTTCATTATATTGCTTTGCATGCAACTTGTATCGTGTTATGATGAGTTGTGATGGTCAATTAAATCTTTCACGTTTTGAAGCTGCATATTTAGCAGTTAATGGTTCTGCATGTAGAGCTGCACAATATGGATTCCCAACATTGACAGCTCTTTTACAAGCATTACCTTGTACCGTAATATTAAAGGATACAAGGAAAGATAAACGGAAAAAAAAAGTAATATACCTTAATAAAAAATTAGCTTGTAAGTAAATTATTTCATTTATTTAAATATTTCCTCTAATAAATTTATAATTAATACTTGTATATTTTTTCTTTTTCTATTGAAACAGCTGTTGGTATTGCATTACCTTCAACATATACATCTGGTTCATCATATCATGATACAGATTCTAGCAATGAGTCATTTGAAAGCGATTCATCATCACGTATAAATGCCTCTAGTAATGCTTCCACATTAGAAGAATATGGAAAATGGATAACTCACGCAATTAATGGTCCTGGTTCTTGGAAACAAACTGAAGACAATCATTTTTGGGCACAAGATTGTGAAAAACATTGGCAAATCTTAACGCAATTAGAAGAAGGAGCTAATAATTGGCCATTATTTGAAAGAAATGATGAAAGTCTTAAAAATTCTATACATACATCAACAATCATGCAAAACGATTTTCCACCTCCTCCACCTAAGCCTGATTCACCACCTGAGGTATATCAAATATTTTCTATTATATTAATTAATTAATTAATTCTTCATAAACAATTGTTATTTTTTTTACAATTATATTAAATATACAAACAAATATACATAAATATTAGGTGGATACAAAAACAAATAATCAATGGAAGTCGTCAGTATGGATAGCACCAACAAAGATTTTATATTCACAAGATGAACGAGTTACAAACGTAGATGTAAGTATGTTGGGTGGGGGTGGGGGAGGGAGGCAGCGGGAGGGGGTAATATTTTACAAGAAAATGTTGTTTTTCATCTTACATTAACCTTTGCTTACCACACCCGGGTCCAAAGGACCCGGGCGAGAAAAATTGTTGTAAAAAGTTAATTATTGCATAGATTTACTTCAACATTTTTTTGAGACTTCTTTAATACTTACTTAAAATGACTCAAGTTGCAAAAAAGGTCTGGGTCCTTTGGACCAAGTGTGATAAGCCAAAGGTTAATCTATCTATATAATTATACAATAATGTTAATTTAAAAAGAATATATATATGTCTCTTTATATTTGTAGGAATTATATGGAATGTATTATTTTTACAAGTAAATTTTGATTAAATATTGAAGACAAAAATTGCACCTTTTTAACATAAAATAATTACTTTTTAGGTACCTCCATTAACATTACCTGTTTGGAATCAAATGTCTGAGGATGATATATTAAATTTATTATCTCCAACGAAAAATTTATTACCAGCCGCTGCAAATCCTTTAAATCCGCGTACATCGCCTTATTATTCAACCAAGCATAATCTAGTTGTAGCACCACATCCATCCGAATTACCGTTACCGTCATTGTCACTAACACCGAAAAAAAATGCATCTTCTGACAGCGTTACAGTTATACGACAGAGCATAGAAAAACAAGATGTTAGTTCTAATAATATTAGTGAAGTTTGTAAAACAGAAAATTTGGGTAAAGAAATTAATATTGGTAATAGAAAGAAAACTGAACTTCTCAATACTCCTACTAAACCAAGTAAGTATTGAATTCCTCTCACATACTAATAATTGTATTATTTGATCATTTTATATGTAATTGATTGTTCATTGATCTTGTTTCTTTTTAGTATTTACAGGAAAACGACGTTTGGCAGCACAATTCAATCAACCTCTTCAATCTTAAACATAAATTGAGACTTATAATTTAATCGAATTTAGGCAACCGTTTTAATTTAAAGATATTGTTCGTTTGTGATGCGCTTGCATCCAATGCAAGGGATTTTTGTTTCACAAACAGTAAACACGTTTAAAATTTTAACTCGCCGGTAGGATCGCTGCACAATCATTTGAGTACTTAAACATAAAACTATGATTTAGTCGGTAGGTACCTCTGTCTCTGAAATTTATAATGTTCATTCATATGCATTCATTTAATTTGTACTTATCTTACTAGAATAAAAACAATAACAGAAGTTATTTTCAAAAATATATAAGAGCATGTAGAATATGTAACTACAGTTTATAAATTGAAAAATCTAAAATGAGTGAGCAGCGTTTATATCGAATGACACGTATTTATATATGGTATTGCATACAAAAGTCGTAGCATTTTCCACACACACTGTGATATAGAATAAGAAGAATGTGAAAATAATTGTACTAGCAATAAAGGAAATGTGCCTTCGCAATGGCACTCAATCGCTCGCAAGGTACTTTAGATTTGGGCCGACTTTTCTTACCTTAATATGTAATTATTAGATAGACAAAAGAAATCAATTACTTTGTATTATATTATATCCTTTGCAGTCCAATTTATTATTATCGACTTCTCATTTCAAGTAATATATATATATATATTAATTTGTTATTAATTTTTTTTATTATTCTTATGTTTTACAATTATTTGAAATATCGAATTAAAAAGTATTCATAACATTTCGATATTCTTTATAATTGTATAAGATAAAAAATATACACATGTTTATAATATATGTTTTGAAACTGGATTTCAATGCATAATTTAAACGTAAGACGTGTAATTCAATAATAACGTGTATTTCAGAATAATATCCAAATGTTGTTAATAATGTTTATACTTGAAATTATAAATTAAATTTAGCAATTTTTTTAATGTTGTTCTAATAGGCCCGAATCTATTGATTTTTTTTTTTCATACAACTTGTATAAATTCCGAGTTGTATTTTTATAAGTTTATTATTTGCATTTATGAAATAATGTACATGATTCCAGAATAATGTGTAAAACAAGTACAACTCGAGATTTCTAATTTTATTTATTTACATAACGATCAATTTGTACAATTATTATTATTATTATTATTATTACTAGTCGTATTTGTGACATATTATTATTTCATTACAGTCAACGTGTTTTATAAATTAATATATATAATTTTATAATTATATTATAAGTATATATATATATATTTTTAAGGTTATTTGTGAAAATTAGGAAAGATTACATATTATAATATATATATATATATTCAGAAATTTCACACAGTTTTCAGTAAGTAAAACAAAAGAAGAATTCTTTAAAAATGATGATACAACAATTTCTATGCAGTATTAAAATGAAAAAGAAAAAAAAAGAAAGAAACTGTGGTGCAATTGAAACGTACATATTATGTACTGTCAAATTTTAGTGAAAAATAATAATATTTACTTAAAAAGTTATAAATAAAAGATATAATTACTTTGAATAATTTTGTTAGAAAAGAAAAAAGAAAATAATATTAAAGTATTGAAGCAGTGAGAAAGATTTACATCGATTTTCTGTGTTGTGTGAATAGAAAAGTTTATACAGCTAAATTAATCTTTCTATTACTACATGTAATGTATAGTACAAAACAAACATAAAGAAGATAAGCGATTTCTTCAATTTACTTAATTAGGATTTCGATCTCATATTTTATTTTTACATTTACGAATGCTTTATTAGCAATAACTATAATCATTAAAATTAAAAAATGGTAAACAACGTTTGACAGTGGTTTTATAAATTTGTATAATTGCAAATAGTGTAATGAAGAATGTTAATTTTCTAATTATTCTCGTTTTCGTATATATTGCTAAATTAATGATTAAATCTTGTTAAATTATATCATCAGTAATGCATGTAAAAAATAATATAGTATTTATTGAGTTATAACTGATAATTAGATACAAAATCCTAAGTGGAACCATTTCTGCTGTTAATTATGTGGTCGTTAATGAAATATTAAATTATTCTTAATAATGTGTGATTTTATTTTATATTTATTGTGTACAATTATATTATAATCTATTTTAAATGTTTCTATGCTAAATATTCAATATCATAATTTATGCGAAAATAAGAAAAGTGTTGGGTAGTGTGCAAAAGCAACAACAACAACAACAAAAAACAAAAAAAAACATACTTTTAATTTCTTTTGTTATTTAAACACATCAAATTAATTTATTATTATGTATTTCGTTTGGATATAAAACTACACACACACACACACACACATGTAGTATACATAATATTTTCAATGAAAAGTTCTTTAATGTGGATGTAAAATTGATCAATATATAAATCAATTTACATATGAAACTGTTCGAGTATCATAAACATTTTAATACACTTAATTTTGTTAAGTTTTATTATTGTAACATATGTAATTCGATTTGAAAATACAAAAGAATACATGAGATCTTCTAAAAAAAAATGTAATCAATTTGATACATATGTACAATCATATTGAATTTTTATATACTATACAACGATAAGCAAAAATAAAACAGTAGTTCAGAAACGTAAGAGATGTGTTTGTTTTTATTGTATATAAAAAAAAAAAATAAATAAAACATGAATATACTGTTAGAAACATTCCATTTTACTATATAGTATATAAAATAATATACACAAATTCATATATATAACTTATTTTATTATTTTATTATGTTTTATACAATATTTATATACGCATGTAGATTTATTACTAATTTCTTTAACTAAAAGTATGTATTTTGTATTAAATCCCTTTTCTACGATATGGAGATAATATTTATGTCTTCATTCCACTACCTACAGGACCATGTCTTCGTTCCCAAACCATACGATGCTTTTGTTTCATAAACGCTTGTTGTACGTTAAGCGTAGCAGGTAAATCACCATCTAAACAAAATTCAATGTATTATTATTATTTTATATTTCTATATAATTAAATTGTATTTTTTGATATTTGTAGGTAATCATAGTAACATTTTGCAAACCAAGCTCCACTAGCTTCTTCATAGATGTTTTTTAAAGGAGTACAAATTTCGTCTCTATCATCAAGTTCATGATGCATAGCACATTCTTCATATCGACATCTCAAAATATTCAAAATAGCATCATCTACAGCCCTGATAAAATGAAATGAACATATTATTATCTGAGTATATAGATAAATATTTATATATACGTACCTATCCCGTTCAAATTGAAGATTAGCTTCAATGAAACAGACCATGTCATCTGTATAACATTCATCAATAGTTGGAACACGACGGAATTTTTGATGATACCAAGGATACTTTTGTTGATTTGGTTCAACGATTTTTTCTATTAATAATCATAATATTAATATTAATCAGACATTTTTTTAAATATTTTTTTTTTTTAACAATATATATCAAATACTGATTATTATATTACTTGTTCAACATAACCAAAAAAAATACGATTAGGTAATACCTCGAAAAAATACAACAGGTGCATCAATTACGTTATATACGGCATTTGCAAATCTTTTTAAAGCATTTGGATGTTGTTCCATTATCTAACAATTAATTAATAACAGTTTATGATACTTATATAAAACTTTTTGATAGAATACTCCTGTAAGAACTTAGGGATCCTGTAGGAGGGATACGCCATACATTCAGCTCATGTGCCATTGGCTGAAAATTTTGGGGGACCGTTTCCGATCCAACGTGCAGCCATGTTTATCTTTAGTATGTATTAACGGCTATGGTTAGTTTAAGTTTGGAATACTTATAGTTTTTATTGTGATATTTATGTTTAATTATATTTTTTTTTTTTTAGTAGTTTTCTATAAGTGTAAGTTTAATTTACTCATTTAATAGTTACAAGTATAAATGTACAAACCTAACCTATAACTTATCGTTTGTTTACGGACTTATTGTTTGTGATGAATAATCATGGTTCGACAGTGTATTCTTAATTACTGCAAAAGTTCAACAAGAACTACGCAAGACCGTAAATACCTTATACCATCGCGTAGGTATAATCGCAAAAATTTACAAAATTTTAAGCAAACAAATCTCAGTTCGAGTAAAACTATGACCATGTACCACATTGAGAAGTAAAAATATGTTAAAATAAATCTATTTTTTAATTATTTTATATATTTGTCTTATTGTTATTATTATTAATATAATATATATAGTAGATAACTATATTTATCAAAATTGTATAAATTCCTACAAATTGTTTTGAAATTTCAAAATACTGTAATGCCTTTTATCAAATCAAACTTAATTAAGTCTTTCTTATTGAATTTATAATAATTTTTTCGTATAACCTATTCTACTTTAATATAAATTTTTAATTATCATTAAATATAGTTCATTTTTTTTCTGTATTTGATGCAATTCATTATTTCGTAATTATTTCAATGTTTGAATCATTCGCGCGCAAAATCGAGTTCCGGTCCCCCAGCAATGTACATGGCGCATACCTCCTATCAGTGCTGTCAGATCGTGGGTAAATCTTACCCTCTCCCTGTGCCACTGGGATTGCACACAATGAAAGTTTTCCATGTCCGTGTGTTTGGGATGTCGAGGAAAGCCGAGTGTAACCGAAGTTGGCGGTTGGCCACGAAGTGGCACACTATGAAAGCGACTCCTGTCCATGTGTTCGGACATGGGTAACTTTCATTGTGTGCAATCCCACAGTGGCACAGGGAGAGGGTAAGATTTACCCACGATCTGACAGCACTGCCTCCTATAGGATCCCTAGTAGAACTAAGAAGTGAACGCCATCAGTACGTTTTCATTGACATTGGTATTACCGAACACCACTGACATTAAGGATAAAAACGTAATCTATTTTTGTTGTATTAAAATCTTAAAATAGAATAAGAAAATAATGGAATATGAAAGAAGTTAATCATAATTTGTCTAAAAAATATTTCATTTATTATTTTTAAATAAATACATATATTTCTTTTTTATATTCAATGTATTATTATCCACACACTCGTACGAATAAAATAAGGAAATTAGCAATGCAAATAAAAAATATCAAATTTAATGCATACAAATACATTTCTCAATTATTATGAGAGAAGTAAATTTTAAATAATGTAAACAAATAATTAATTAATTTATATTTTCAATTAAATTCTATAGAAATTCATTGAAGATTAAAAAAATAGATTGTATATACGCAAGGTACATTCAAAAAAAAAAAGAAACAAAACAAAAGAAAGATAACATGAACAAGGTAAATTTAAATAAATATGATTAACAAAAAATCATTGGAAGAATTTGACCAATAAAAATGCTCGTTTTGAAGATCCATTGACCAATTTAGTTACGAAATGTCCAAAATGAAGTTTCACATACAAGCTATGATTTTTCACTTCTAGTATCATGTAACTCTATGATCAGAGTCTGAAATGAATAAGCATTGTGATCCATGTTAGACTAAAGGATATTATAAATCGTCATCGGAATTTCGTAGTTTACAGAAAAAAAAAAAAAACGTAAATGAAAGTTCGGTATCTCACGAGTGTTTAGATCGAGATATCTTTATCAGTGATATTTATGTAATACTTAGTATTGTCGCATAATATACGACACGTGAACGTGGATTGGTAAAATGGTATGACTGTTTACGTTGTGTACCAAAACATCGATGACCTTGAAGGAGGGATAGATATCACGTGATCATGTTATGAGAAAACGATTGGTCGAGAAAGGGAGACGAAATATAGTATCTATTGCGTTGTGTATGCCCGCATAATAGGTCCCGTATGCCGCTTCCGATAGGCTAGAGGCAAAGCGCGGCAAAGAGCGATCGAGTGAGCGGCTGAGTGAGCGAAAGCAAGAGAAGAAAAAAGAAAAAGTGAGGGTGAGAAAGCAGTAGAATTATTGGAACGAAATAAAGAGGGAAGGAGAAAGAAGCGCGAGAGACAACAAGAGTAAATGAGGACGAGGTAGTGGAGGAGAGAGAGAGAAAGAAAGAAAGAGAAAGAGAGAGAGAGAGAGAGAGAGAGAAAGGTGATCAAGAGTGACGAAAAGAGAGAACAATTAAAGGCTAAGACGCGGTGACGGCAACAGCTACTAAGGACAGCAACAACAACGACGACAACGACAACGACGACGACGACGACGACAAACGGACAAACGACAAACATAACAAGAACGACTACGATTACGACAACGACTAGGACGACTAGGACGACGACGACGACGCAACGACGCGACGACACGAAGAAGAAGAAGAAGAAGAAGAAGACGACGAAGACGGAGACGGAGTGTGCCGCCGCCGCCGCCGTTCGCTCGTACGTCCGTGTGTGTGCGCGCGCGTTAGTCGCTAGTGTTGTGTCCAAGATGAAGTCCGACTCTAAACCTTTGTTGACAGCTCAAGTGGAAAAGGCGAATCATTACACGTAAGTAGCGCCCGCCAGGCCGGTCTCGTGCTACGTGAGAGAAGTGAGATAAAGATCAAAGCCAGAAGTGCGTGACCCAAAGTGGAGTGCGAGAAAAAAAGATAGAGAGAGAACAGAGAAAGAGATAGGAGAGATAGAGAGAGAGATAGAGAGAGAGAGAGAGAGAGAACCGCGAGCAGCGCGGCTACGACGCGCGCGTCGACAAAAAACTCCACGAAATAATGTGTAGCTCTGTGGATTCGCATTCCAGATACTTGAAGGATTTTCGCGTCGAACAATGTCCCCTCTTTATACAGCGCAAATGTACACAGCACCGTCCCTTCACGTGCTTCAACTGGCACTTTATGAACCAGCGGAGGCGCAGGCCGGGGAAAAAGAAGGGCGGCACCTTCAACTATAGTGCTGATAATTATTGTACCAAGTACGACGAAACTACCGGTATATGCCCGGACGGAGATGAGTAAGTTTATCATTTGATTTAACAAAATATACTTATTTTTTTTTATTCTTCTTATTGCCTTTAATCGCCTTATTTTGCTCTCAGACAAATGTAAACGTACAAATTTGTTCATTATTTTGATANAATGGGCCCACCCCGTCCTATCCAACGATTTGGGAAGTGTTAGCTGCAGTTACGATAAATCCATCCGTTAGCTCTCGCGAAATCGAAAGACAAGCTGGAATTAGCCGCAAAAGCATTTTACGCATACTGAGAAAGCACAAATACCATTCATATCATGTATCAAAGGTTCAAGGACTGACCGCAAATGATTGTTATAAACGTTTAGAATTTTGTAATTGGGCTCTCACTCAAAGAGACAACTTTTTCATTTTCCGGCTAGGTCACCAGATCTAACGCCCCTCGACTTATTCTTATGGGGCTACTTAAAAAATAAAGTTTACTCTGAGCCTCCGACTACAATGAAAGGGATCGTATCGTCAATGAATGCAAGGAAATAACATCAGATACATTAATAAACGTTAATGAGTCATTAATTTCTCGATTCAGAAAGTGTTCTGATGCAAATGGTCGCCATATTGAACCTTTTTTGTAAATAGACAAAAATTACAAATATCTCCTAAAGTAATAATTTTTTTACATAAATAGGTTAATACTTTTTTGTAAATAATATGACAGAGCATCAGATGATGCAATAAAAAATATATGATTCCATTAAAAAAAACATTAATGACATTCATATGTCCTTGACAAGTCCACCTAAAAAAAAAAAAGTACAATCAGTATGAGCCCCTTTTAAAGCCATTTAACTCCATGTGAAACATTGTCTACTACGCGTAATAATAAAAACGTAAATCATGGTGGTAAAATGTGGTGCCCACCCTGTATATACCCCCTTAAATATTTAGAATCATATTTATCTGTATTTTAGTGTTTTAATTATTTATCCAAATATACAGTTAAAATATTTGAAAATATATTGTTTTATTATTTGAATTAATCTCTTTTTCAAGAAATATGATTTTATTATTAAAAAAAAAGAGCTTAGTATTTCATAATGTGAAGTATTTATGCATGTATTATGCTACTCATACAACGAGTTAAGGCCGGCGATACATGTAAACGCCTAAATTTTGACTGTTTTTCAGAGATTTATTTAAAATGGAAGGAATAAATGAATCGTTTTGAAACTCAGCATGTTTATTCATTACATATTAAATTATAAGAATCTGATTTTTTGCTTTTTTTTTTTTTCAAAATGGCTGCGGTAGTAACTAATCTCCTGAGGCACTCGCGACGAAAAACATTTATCATGGTGATTTTTAGCTTTAGTTACAGCAATCTAAAATTTAAAAAAAGGGTCGGAGAGTATTCATAAAACATGTATCTACTAGTTGAACTAAGGAAAAACTAAAAAGTCAAAAAATCCTAAATTGGCACGACTCAGACAAAAAAGTCCGATTTTTGACCCTTTTTTTTACGGTTTTTGGGTCAAAAATGGCAATTTTTGAAAATTTTTGAGGCATTTTTAAAGTTTAACTAGAAGCTAATACTATAAAGAAAATGTGTGCTAAATTTCATAAGAATCGGTTGAAACCTTTTTGAGTTATCTTTCACCACAGTTTGAAAAAAATCGTTTCGTGAAAAACGCGCTTAAAGTTTAGCGTTGGCGTCTAGCGCCGAGTTGAGGCAGTGCACTTGAATGAATTTTTAATCGATAAATAATGCGAATTTCATTATAAAAATTTGCAGGCATATTTTTCAGATGGTAAACTAACTATTTATGAAAAAAACAAAGAAAATTCGATTTGTTTTTTATTTTACATGTATCGCCGGCCTTAAGTCTGATAATGAGATAAATGCTTGATTTGTGTATATCTGTTATATAAAATATCCATATATTTGTATATATTTATTATTTTTATATTTGTTATATAAGATTTAATAGAAAATTATTCCTTTAACCTTTGCTTACCACACCTCCCTGGAGTAACAAGCTTACTACAGCCGGGTCCTTCGGACCCGGACGAGAAAAATCGTTATAAAAAATTAACTATTGCATAGATTTACTTCAACATTTTTTTGAAACTTCTTTAATACTTACTTAAAAAGACTATATAGGTTTTATAGCTTTAAATTAAATTTAAATATGTTTAAAAAAATTACCAATGTTGAACAATTGAGAAAAATGATTCAAGTTGCAAAAAAGGTCTGGGTCCTTTGGACCAAGTGTGGTAAGCAAAGGTTAATAATAATGCAATAGAAGAGTGCTATTTATTTATTTTAGAGCAAAGTAAATGTTTATATGTTTAATATTAGATATGATCTTGATTAAATTTATATTTGTGTGCAGAACATATTTACAAATATATAATACGAGCTATAAATAATTCAGATTAATTATAATGTCTATAATACATTTAAATGTCATGTAAATTATAAACTCAAATAACATAAAAGTTTTTGTTGTTGTTGCATTTATTTAATTAATTATTAATGTTTATTATTTTAGTTACTTTTTGTGTTAATCAAAATATCAAAAGAAATAAACACATTTTGGCTCATCAAATGTGTATTTAAATTTCAATAAATACGTTGAGGTTATTAGCATATTTAATTTTTATTTTGTATGAAATATTGATACTCCAAAAATAGTATTGTCAAGTATTTAATTTAAACTCTGATCAGTGTTAAATTAAAACATTTATCATATTTTAAAATTATACTCAAGCTAATTCCTTCTCGTATTAAATTTTATCAGTACAAACATTTAAAGAAAATGGTTTTTATGATTTCAAAATAAAACATTTTAATAGTTATTTCATTGTAACAATTTTATATTTAATTATAAGTAAATATGCTTTCACAACGAATTTCTTTCTATTAATAATATTTATCTTTAAAGTGTATGTACATTATATTATTTGATCTTCTTCATTTATATTAACATATTTTTCCCAAGTTATTAGACTAAACATACTAATGATTCTCTTATTAAGTAAATGATTTATGTTTGTTATATTTTGTGAATGAATACAATATGTTATAATTGAATTATGAAGAGTACTAATGAATGGTTTTAAGTATCGTATGTTAAATATTGAAACCTGGGTTCAGTTCTTGTTCTATCATGTAGTTTATTTGTACATGATAATATCTCATTTCAAATGAAAAATTATATA